CGGATGCGTGCACAAAAACGTTATCGGCTAAAATGTGTTTGCCCGCCAGTTCAGGGGCGTGCAGAAGGTCCATGGTTTTACGAACTTGCAATGGAAACGTCACGCCTGTATTTTGGATGCACACACCGTGGCAATTGGAGCATGGCTCACAAATACTTTTCTTCTATTTATTTTGCAGTTATTTGTGAGTAGACTTGGGCACCGTCGGGAGTTGCGAGTGATGGGAGCGGACTCGAATTCATCGCCGAGCACACGCTCCAGACGTGTTGCCACCAACTCCTCGTACAAAACCAATGGGTCAAAATTAGTTTTCTGAAGCCACTTTCAATGCATCAGCCTGGAGTACTATTTCCATCTAGCTATTCTGGGATTCCTCTCTTCTGAGGTGGGGACACACGAGATTAATTTTTGTACCATACTGCATCAAATGCAAGAAAAATGTTAACGGGTGCACTTGTTGCTAATAATTAGGATGTAGGCGTTCGAACCGATCCCGACTCAACAAATCTACCTCTTCTAAAACTGCAGAAGAGATCAAAAATGCATCGTTATCAATTTTTTTATCAATTTTTTTCTTTTTTTTAAAACCATGGACCTTCTGCACGCCCCTGAACTGGCGGGCAAACACATTTTAGCCGATAACGTTTTTGTGCACGCATCCGTCTTACGCGCACTTGGCTGAGACCGGCCCATTGAACTTTCTTTTCTTTCTTCTTCCTCCTCGCTTCTATCGACGAGGTTTGCACGTAAGAGTGGAAGAGTGAATAAGGCTGCTTGAATGGATTCGACCACTAAGAACAGAGCCCTCCGCACTGGGTTGATACTAAAATTATCCTCACAAGATATGCCGCGGACGCGACAAGGCACCAGGTAATCTCAACTGATGTATCGCAAGAGGTAATTGGACAAATGATGGCGTAGATGAATAATCATTAAATTAATTGTGAAAAAAAGCAATATGAGCACAAAATAGGGATTGAATTAATGAAAGTTATGCAATGCCAGAGAGGAATCAATTGACTACAAACTAATTCACCACAAATTGTGCTGAAAGATGTCGGGTGTAAAGACGCTCAAGTTACGGGGCAGAGGTGAATCTGTCCGATGCTGCTGTGGCCAATAAATTATCAAGCACCATCCACCAACCCACTCACACACAAACACACACGACGAGTGTGCTATCGGGCAAATTAAGGTGACGTGGCACTGTCAATAAATATGTAAGGTGCTGCGAAATCATTAAAAGTACGACGAGTGTTACTTCACACAACACGTGGATCGCTACCGACGGAGGTCGATTACGCGAACCCGAGGCTTCGGCACTCGTGAGAAGCATAACTTGGTGGCTTTGATATTGGAATGTGAAAATCGTGGATCCTTGTTTCATAGCAAATTAAATGTTAGAGATCAAAATATGTGGAGAAAAAAAAGGACCAACTTTTGTATACTTATCTATTCAGTTACTTTACAAATTATGAATAGTAATTGATGTTATCTGATGTAGCATTTGAAGTCAGCTCGAATATGACCACTAATTGTGAACAAGGGTTTCTGGTAAACTTTATTATCGGGCTAGGTGTGGGTCAACTCCAATGTGGCACCGGCCATTTAAGTGATTTCACATGTTTACTTTCTCTTTTGATCATGATTAATGCTCACTCAGTGGCCTCTGATGACATAAGAGTGCATTTTTATGTAATTAGCCAAGATTACTATAATGGTAATGACCAAAACCCTGTCGTCAATGTTCAAGTAGAATAATGGCTACAACAATTGAGCTTTCCTCCAGATAGCAGGGGTCTTTCATTCACGTATCATCGTTTTGCTCCACAGTTGTAGGACTAATTGGTTGAAATATGCTCGTTCATTTTTCCTTTTAAGTCCTAGAACTGTTAACTTAAATCGAATAAATGCCGCAAGTATTCCGGAACACGAGTGCATTAAGTAATTATGGAGAAACGTATGATTTAAACATTGATCAAATAGCAGGTCAATCATTAATTGCGAGACCAGTCCGATTCAACCAAAGCACGTCGGACCGCCTTTAAAGCATTTGCGCCTACCGACATTTGGCCTTTAGCATTTCACAAATTCAATTTGCCAAACCTGACAAGTTATTTTACGGATCACTGAAACAGATAATTGTGTGAGTTCCTCGCTGTTCAACACAAAACAATATCTCAGAATATTTTGCGATTCACACATTCCGGCTTTTCTAACTAAGAACGACCTAATGACAATTACAACAATTACTGTACATAGTGCAAGATCTGGTCTCGAAACATGCTGATGTGATGTTTGTGTGGACGCGGTAGTTCTCATTCGGGTTTTCCCGGAAGTTGGTACCATCGCTCTGATCTATATACTTGAATTCATTTCCAACTGAAGGACCACATACTGAAAGTTCAATTTTATTAATGCGAACTCAATATTTTAACTCGCATACACGTTACTGAACCCCATCAGGATGACAAATGGCCCAAGACCAGAGCGATAACTCGTGAAAGGCCTACAAACAGAAAATCAACTCAGTGACTGATCGTTAACTGACTATCACTTAACCAAGTAGTTGAGTTCATGTCACGACGCTCGTGTTGGTTCCGAAAGGTCGAAAAAGCCATAGACCAGCAGCCGCAAATTTCTGAAAGTAGTTAAGCGAAGTGAATGACCACCATAATTACCGGAGCTCATCCAGAATGCTAGAAAATGGAGGCAGGATTCTCGAAAGTTGAACACACATTTACACGTGTGCTTTAAATTCAAAAAAGATTTCATGTCAGTGCTGCTTTGCATGGGCAAGTTTTAAAATCTACAAGCGAGCTAAGCCACTAAGATCTTGGACACCATGGGTGGCATGCTTGGAGCGCACCTGATGAATACACCGCAACGAGGGGAAGTGTGCCTAATCTTATCCATGTTCCTCGCTGGTGAAAACCGCACTTGGAGATGAAACGTAAGGAACACTGCCAGCTACCGATTGGAAGTTGGCCGATTGACAATGATCACTCAGGGATCGTCTGAATTATTGACTGTGCCGTAAACAGGCCCAAGAAAATTGAAGCTTTGGGGCGTCCATGGACCACGCGAATCAGACACCACGGCAACAAAACATACTCCCGCACCTTGCCAGCCCCTGATCGCCATCCTAGTGTGCCTCGATAAAGCCCACACGCTTTGCCCACCTAGTTGACTAAAGCCTGCATCAACACCCACTCCGTTTGTTACCTAGTCGCGAAATTTGGTGGCTGGGAGGCTTAGGCCTCAAAAATGGGAAATCAACTGCGGTCCACGGGTATTCGAACAGCAGGTGCGCCCACGGACCACTAGCATCCAAACGCCACTCCATTTGCGGCAAATTATGAGACGAGATAATGACGCAAGATTAGACGCGAATAGCCTCACCATCCCAAAGAACCCGTCTGCATTCCTTGGCAATATTACACCCACAAATTCAGCAGTCCCCTCCAAAGTTAATTAACAAACCATGCATCTAGGTGTGAGATGTTGTAATTGTTGGTTCCAACTGTTTTCTTCCAGTCAAAATCAGCCACGATAGAAATTGCGCGCTTGGGTATCTGTGTTCAATTACTAGGTTGTGAACAAAACAGAAACTTAATCCTTGACCCGAGAACAGCAGAATAAGGGGATTGGGGAGTACAAAATGGGGGATGCACAAAGATGGGGCTGTAGGACATATTTACACCACTCGTGAGGGAGGACGAACTCAGAGAACGGCCGATGAGAGGTACAGAAGAACGACAACTGAGATGGGGGGGAGACATTACGATCACCAAAATGGCAACAGGCGCTGAATAGACAAGTCCATTACTATAACAAGACGAGACGGGAAGAAAGCTGAAAGCCCACAGGGAATGTGTTCCATATCACCTTGTTGCCAGTCGCCAGCTCGCTCACGAGCATGAACACGGTATGCATACTACTGAGGTCGGAAGGTATGCAAACCAGAGGGAATGAGCTGGGGAGACTGTCTACTTGCCAACTGTTGAGGGGGGCAGCCTGAAGGCAGAGAAAGATTCGTTAATTTTCAGTCCATGGGTCGAAGCAACCAGGGGAGATACACCACGTGGATTAGGTACTACTTGCGTGAACGTTCTGAGTTGCAAATATGTGATACAGAATTTAGTGAATTTATATTGGAACACACCGCGGACGTGCGCTCACTTCACGAGAGGGAGGCAAAAAGGCATGCTGCAGTGATACGACACGCAAACGCGTTGCGTGCAAATTCATTCGATCACAAACGACGCTTGGTCACTCAAGGAGCCCATTGCTTGGTCCAAAAGGACCCGTCTTGATTTTGTGCTTGTACGACGTGCATAATTATCCTCGATATCCACTTTTAGTCATGTAAATTCCAGCACATAGATCGGCACAATCCACTAAGGAGTTTGCCTAAAGTGCCGAGAAAATAATACCCCCTTTAATTTAAACTGACCAATGACCAATTTCGCCCACTTTGCCCGAAGTAGTGATTATTGAAAGGACCCACGTAACAACACTCTCCAACATAGTCTTCAGAACTGACACCGCGACGCCGGCGAAATTACGAATCAATAAAACTGTGTAAAACTAAAAGACGACGCCAGTCGAAATTCATTAGGAAATGTTTACACTCCAAACATGAAAGTTCCACAAATAGAGAGAACGAGCCGTATCGAATGGCTAAAAAGAAAATGATGGATTCTAGTAACAACTACTTGCGACATCGATGTTTCGCAAGTTACGAATAAATCTTGCTTGACAAAACCCTAATTTGCCCGTAACGTCATATTTTGATTTCCGACACCCAATTATTCAGCTACGACTGAATTGGTACACTAATAAGTAGTAAACGTGCCCATAAAAACGCTAATAATGGTCATGTTATTGTTGATGAAAAATCTCGTAAAAAAACATTAAAACTGACCGGTCGAACTAGCCCCTGCAGTCATTAGATTGACCAGATGAGCCTGAAGCAGTTTTTCACTTGGTGTGGGGGCCGACGAGCGGACATGTAACGGAGGTCTGTGATGATGATGGTGATGATGATAGGGACTTCCTCCACCCGCGCCGCCTGTGCCAAATGAAGACAAGGGGAGACCATTTGACGTGGTTTGTTGCGGTGGGGTTGCAAAATCATAGGGTGAATTCCCCGTGGGGACGCCTCCGCGCCTCCCACTCCAGTCGATGGGCTGAGACTGCGACGCTGTCGTTTGCCCCCATCCCTGCTGACTACCATCACCAGTTGCTCTTCCTTTCTGTGGTGCTGGTCCATCATCCGAAATATCCGAATAAGCGGGGCTAGCAGCAGGAGGCTCGCACATCGGTACGACGGAGGGTTCCATCTCGTCTGCAGATGGACCACGATCCAATTGTGGGGGCGGGGGATCCTCATCTAGTACTTCTAGAGAGAAGCTGCTTCCACAACTAGATTTGAACTTAGCAAGTTGAGGTGGCTCTGGGGGTTCCGATGTCTGTGAATAAATATTATCAACCTCAATTTCTACTGACTCTCCTGATGATTTTGGCTCCTGCTTTTGCTGCTGTCCATGACTCATGTCTAGATGGAAGCGGACACCAAGGATGTCAGAAAAGCGCTTCTCACAACCAGGCTGCGGACAAGCGAATTCTGGTGCTGAAGGGGTGTCAGAGGGAACAGTACTTGTAGTGGCTTCATCGTCTTGTTCATCTAGATGCGTACTAGTGGGGTCTGCGCTATTGGTCGATAAGGATGTGGTGGAAGATGAAGGAGCCATACCGCCGCGCCTCCGCTTTCGACCGCGACCGCCGGAAACACTTACTTGTAGCGCTCGACGACGCTGAGAGGCAGGATCCTCTGCGGCTGCAATCGCCGAGCGGGTTTTAATGGTTCCCGATGTTGCTGAAGGGATGCCTGTGCTTGAGGATGCGGAACAGTTGACAGAGTTGCGGTATGGATTGGAAGAGGATAATGAAGAAGCAGACCCTCCCCAGTGGGGCCTACTCCTGACCATACTCAATGACGAAATCATCTTGTCTGGGCTGAAAACGAACGCATATAATGCAGGCAATGAACGCATTACATCTTGGTATTTTCAAGTCAACAATTCTTTCGCGCCAGACATGAGCTTATCGACTGATCGGACATTGTAGAGGCGAAATGAATGGATCAAGACATCTAGCAGGGACCATAAGTTGGGTTATTTCACATAAACGTTATTCTAGGATGAGGAAGCTTACTCCGCCCTACAGGAGAAGCGTTCTTTAAGCTGTCTACGTGGCAAATACTTGCCTACCCCAATTTTTTTCCATTGAATCTGAGACAGATTTGATTTCCTAAGCAATACTTGGTCACAAAAAACAGATTACTTGACAATACCTGTGGGTGACTGTTGTGCGGGGCTTAGAATAAGGTATTCAGTACATAGAAAATATGACGATGATGTAAGGTGGGAGGCTACGCTTGCAATTGTCGCCATGGCAACTTACCAGGACGGACCAAGGGTATTTCTAGACGCGTCCAGAAGAGTCCCAAGGTAGGCCCTTCCACGCCAGTGCGCGTTAATAACCATCATGCCTGTAAGATAACAAATGAAGCCATAATTCAACATCAGTTTTACACTCTGTAACCATAAAACACTCCCACATTACACGAGCCGTGATTAATAAATCATAAAAGCGTAGTTAAGAGACGGCGACCAAATTAATGGAAAATTAATGCCAGGTTTGGATTGGTAAGTGCACGCGAACGTTCCAGGACCATGACATCATGTAAAACTTTTAAATAAGTATTTATTTTCAAACTTGGGCAGAAGCAATTCACCACTTTGACTAACCTCTGAACATCCACCCCCTGGAAAAAAATGGTGGGTTTCAGCCACAATGCACTGACAAGAAAAACCAGAGGTTGCATAACACATGTCTGAGGCGACAGCCAAGTATTTTACATAGTAAGGTCAGCACGCAGCTGAGACTAACCGCGGGGTTAACAGAACATTCACATAAACGTCACGGATGGCCTCAGGTTATTAGCGCTGGGAATATTTGTAGGTTAACAAGCGACGAAATTCCAAAACCAAATTCTTACAAGCGACAAGCTATTTTAGTCAAACTGATTTTCGTGAGTCTTCAGCCGAATTCAAAAGCTTCATGTGTACTGCCACGTCGACAAGGATCAAATGATCTGACAGCTTGTAAGATCACCCATAGTGAGAAGCTAGCACGCTCAGGAACGACTTGTTGATTCCGATTAGGCGTATACACTAACTAATGGTTATCGGCACAAGGAAAACTGACAAGTTGCGAAAAAGCGTTTAACAAACAATGAACACTAGGTAAATCCAGTTAAAAAGATCGTTCCAGAGAAGTATTTGTTTTGTGATAGTACATTCGCTGCGTTTGCATAAAAGCCTGCAGATTCCGGCGTGTAAGTCAGCTTTTACTCGCCTTATCAAAACCGTTATGAAGGGCTCAATTAAGTGTGTGATGAGCAAAATCAAATATTCTCGATTCTCCGACGCATGTTATGGCATTAAATGAACACACAATTGACGAACCGGCCCCTCCGTACAGTGTGAATTAAGTGTCTGAATTTTATGGATCCTGGTGGGTAAAATAAACAGACCCACGGCTGACGGGCCTTCCACGCTCACACCTTCGAACACTGAAAAACCTTAGGCGTTCGACTTGGTGTGGAGATGCTTTATGGCCAGAAAGGGGGTGTTAGAAATTAAAGGAGATTAATCCAAGGGAATAAATGTGGAGGAACTGAAACGCAGACTGACGTTACCTGGGGTTGCATATTGTCACCCAATTTTCGACCGCTAAGCAATGTATGCAATCGCGCAAAATTTGACAATGTTCAGGACCTAACGAGAACTTTCAAGATAACGCCTGCATGGAACCGTAAGTTAAATAGTAACAAGAACATTGAGTAGACCAGTATCAATAACTGCTCGTCGGGACGATATAATCGAAAAACAACTAGCGAAATACTCACCCGGAGTCTCAAGCCAAACAACTCCTTCAAGAACTATCTTAGAGCCAGGCTCACATGGGCCCAATAAATCCGGCTCCGTTATGGTACCACAATCCACTGTAGATGTCGAAGCATCCCTTTTATGTAACGACCGGTCATCAACATAATCCGGAGGCTAGAATCACAAAAACATCGTGAAGAAATAATGCGCTACCTTGGGTGCGGGTGCATTTACTCTATCAGAAACTGGGGAAGCGGCACGATTCCTGTGCTCTGATGTAAAACTATCCGCTAATCCACTGGGGAGAATGGGGCTTTTCTCGTCGTCCCCTGGTACCGAGGAATATACAGATGATGGAGAAATCCTCCCATCTTGTTTACTTGAATCCAATGTATGAGAGTGTGCGGCAGTCCGCCGGATCGTCACTTTAAGGGGTTTATTTACAGGATAAGCAACTCCGTTTGGACTTAGCAGTCTGGTACGGCTGGACTTTATCTTTTTTCTTAATTTGTTGGAAGGACTGGAGGGTGTTTTGGTTGTCTCAATAACAAATTTTGATGTGGAGAATGGGGGCTGCAACAGAGACTTACTACCACCGTTGACCATAGAGCGTCTACGATGGCTTTCATTGGAAGAAACCGAATCCCTATCCTCTGTTGATGGTAAGGGACTAGCTGAGCTAGGCGAATCTGGAGGCATTGAGGTAGCAAAAACACCGGGAGGAGCGGGAATTACTGTAGCTGCACTGGTCATGGTTGACATGGGGCCAGAGGGCATATCGCGTTTGCATTGGTGTTCACGTGCTTCGCCTACCGACCCGTTGAACAGTTTGATTGTAAATTAACTTTCCGTTTAAAAGGTTTTCCTTTTCCGACGAAGGCGCGATCAGGATAAACTAAATCCACGAAAAGTCACCGACGAAACGCAAGCCCGGAGTGATGTGCGCGCGCATCCACCACCTGGGTGTGTCTGTACACACAATTGCGCCTGTCTGCCCACAACCTCAATCAATGTGCGTCATTTATTGGTTGATGAGGACCACGGTGCATATGATTGGTTAATAACGGTTAAGTGACTGTTCTGAACCGCGGGCGAATTCCGAACAATTTGGTGGCTGTCGCAAAGCTAGATTTCCTCCCGTTTCCATTCTGCTCCTGTGGGCCGCTATTGTTGCTTGGACTGGTGAGAGTAGCGCCTTAAGTGGCCTTTTCGGACTAGAACCTCGTCGTTTCGTTAAATAAATCAGCCAAATATTTCATCGTTCATAAGATTACCCAAAGTGTCTAACTACCGTAAGCCTAAGATCTGGGATCTTGAGCCCAGCACGAAGTAAATGTGTGACCGTTGGGTCTTTACCTGAACAAAAAAGTTGATGTATGTCGTGTCAACTGACGAATTGGTATCTGTGCCGTGCTTCGGGGCCCAAATTATCGTTTTGAATACTAAATTTGTACATGGGGAGTATGTTGGCTTTGACCATGATCGAGTCACAGGCGCTTGATACGGGCCACTTCCGTTTGCTGATTGATGAGTACCAGGCCGTTCTAGCGTTCTGGAAGACTCATCTGGTTGGTCACATACTTGCCCTTGTCCGTTGCAATACAGGTCTGGTTGCGCTTGGGGGCATCGTATTTTGTCCAATCCTGACCATCGTCCAACTGGAATCTGGTCGCCCTGTCGTCTTTTGTGGCGCTTAAATATGCTTGTGACACCTGCCTATTGATGTTAAGTGAATCCCGCCAGCTCTTGAACTAGCTGTCACTTAGTTTTTCAGCACGGTTTCAAATATTTCTCGGGGTTTCTGTCAAGTTTTATCTAATGATTTACATTCGGCTTGCTGTGGCAGTTGAGAAAGTGATTAATCGAGTCCTGCGAAAGACGAACCCGTGTCCACAACCAAATCTTATCTTGAGGTTTGTCACGAATGCCGTCCCTTTGATATCTGGCGCATAAGGCTAAATTATGGTGACGTTATTGCGACTGGGCTTGGATCCAATAGCGCTTGACCATTGGCTACTGCGCTGTGTCCCGTGTAGTTAGCGTTCACCACGTGCACTTAATTCCAAATGCCGGCCTCTCGACGAGAAAGGACAGTTTTTGCGTGTATTGTCAATTTGGCGATGGCATCTCTTTGAGGTGGCTGCTACCTGTAGTAAAGCATATGATGATTTGAACCGGTATGAAAGAACTCCTGATTTGGGATGCATCTGTAAAGTAGTAAGGATGGTTTTAAGAAAGCCGAGAATTAAATTTTCTGTACCCCACGTGATGCAAGTATAAGATTCAATTTTTTCCTCTGACGCCGCATTCGTACAACTACAAAAGCTAGTGAAATATGTCAAGCGGTTTTCGCAAAATGAATTTTGATGAAGCGGATAATAACTCCTGAGCAGAACATGTTTGGCTTGAAGAAAAATGCAGCGTGGGGCGTTCCCGAGGCTGAATGAGTCACGGTTGCGAGGCCGGATGACGTCCAGACACCTCAGCCTTTTAGGGCAGAGTGCTGGCCTGGTTTTTGGTCGGGGTGCCTGGCCTGAAGCTGTGCTATCATGCGATTATGATTGTGCCCTGGCTGAAGAACATAAACACCCGTCTACCTCTACTTTTAAAAGACTGCATGATTTCCATGTCAAATGATACGATTTCGAGTGCCCTGGAAATCCATGTTATAAGATATTTCATTTTCCCTACGATACATTAATTTGTGTCGTTAATGCGCATGCTACTGCTGATACAGCCTAATAAAAACCGCCAGCTCTCTTTAATTGCACACATCCTAACCGACTTCTTGATTAACGTATTGAGACGGAACAATGTGAAATACACGAATCTCATTCAAGTTATACGAAAATTTCTGCATCTTTCAATCCAATGGCAGTAACAAGCAAACCGACTGAGTCACGCTTTTCTATAGGCATGGATAGAAATACAGTACAGTACGGTTAAGTGCTCGAGACATGCCATTTTCCGGACTGGAGGCTGCTGATAGATGAAATAGCTCTGGCATTTATTTTGGGCCACCGAGAAATGAACCAACCTTAACATTCACGGTGCTGAAACTTTTTATTGAAGCAAAGCCACAAGGTAACTCGATTCCTTATTTCCAAATTGCAGGATCAATCCCCGTATTAATCGGCATATGTGAGAATTAGTGACTACTTCCTAAGTACGTGCACGTACATTTAGGGCAGGCAGAAAGTCATTCGGTCGTAAATCTGCTGGCGACTTTATGACGTTCCTGTTTATTTTTATTGGAGACCTACGACGGCACGCAAACACGCTACAGAATGTTGAAATAACATGAATTAACATGAACAAAGACGGCATTTATGAGATGGGGGCATAAATATGAGTGAGACCTAATTAGAGCGTTGCTTTTTCAGAGCATGTCGAACTGGAAAGTTGCGATTACGTAAATAACCACGAGGACAAGAAGTGAATGGGTTAGAGTACGTCAATAACAAGTTGCTAGATTGTAGAAACTTATTTCATGTGACCATTTTGAGAAAATTAGCCTACTAATATCAATTTTATACAGCTAAAACCATAACCAAAACTTTTTACGGATTATCAGCATGCTATCTGACCCCTGTTCACTCTGTGTGTCCTAAGCAAACTATAATGGAAGTCCATACAATTTCAACTATTACATGTGGCCAAATGTTAAATGACTGTCATTTGGACAATCTGCAATCCGCTTTAGGGCTTAGTGCATTTGATTGTACTAGCACTGGCCTGTTTGTCTCCTCAAGAAAACAGAAAAAATTAACCATTCAAATATGCCATGAAGGACTGATTAAGTCATCTTTTAGTCAGGGCTCTTGACGATATTACCCATTTTTTATACTTTGGCTGAATGTTTACTGAGCAAAATGCCTAATATCAGCTAAGCTCCGTCAAACACGATTTATTTACAGTTAGAATTGACGTGGCTGCTAAATGAGCCCAGCATTGAGGAAGTGCTTGTGACACATACTGGACTCTTCAGAGGTCTGGTTCTTAATAAAACTAATTTCAATTCATAGGTTAATAACTAACAAGGCGCGGATACCCTCAATGTTCCCAACACTTAATTTAGTGCATGAAGTAAGTCTAATTTCTGAAATCACGTGAGACCCCAGAACCCTTAACAACTTTGTGTTTGCACCAAGTACTGACGAACTTCAAAAGTCTATGCAATGAAATTTACGTCGAAATAGAGAGTTTTTACCATAGCGTTTGCATTTTGCAAGGATTTCAAGTAAAACATGTATCATTCTTCCTATGGCCATTTAAAATACATTATTAAACTATTCATCCCCGTTGAGCTATTAATTTGGTCCCGATGTCAAATTGGAGTCAAATGTATGCTTGGTATGAACAAAATAAGCATAATTAAGTGTCCTCGGCAAATGTGAGCTTCGACTTAGTTTTGCCTCATTTACAAAGCAACGAATTTAATCCCGTGAAGAGGATTCCTCACGTGCTGGTTAACCTCTCTCATGGGAACGGTGGGGTGAGGTCAACTAGTTTTATTCACATTCTGTACGTCTTCGATTTTTTTTATCTTTATTAGTATTCCCAATAAAGTGGAAAGGTGTTTTCAGGCACAAAGTGTGCTGCTTAAAAATTGCTTTGAAATCAGAAGGAGGAGGAACTCAGCGGCAATTGCAGCTACGAGGGAGTGTCGCAGCTGCATGGCATTTATGCTGCACAATCCCTTAACCGACACGAAGTGACTGCTAAGAGGCTACCAGTTAAGGGCTTCAATGTGACTCCGATGGGCTAATCCCCAATGGAGACAGATCTATGCCGAGTAGACTCGTACCCCGTTATTACTACAATCGTCCTATAAATTTTAGTGCCGTGCCATCCTAACTGATTGCAATGCTTATCTGCTTGACGTAAAAAACCTCATCCAGTAATGACATTGTTTCCTTTATCTGTGCCTTGTCGGCCATCATTTTTATTCATTAATGCTGGTAAAAAAACACATATTTCTCTGCTTAATCAAATAAATTGTTTGTGTGCACTGATTTGACGAAATTTCGGTTACTGAAATCTCAAGTGTAAATTTGTGCGTCGAAGCGGTTATGGCTACGCAGTTCGTGAGCGTGCTGCGACCTAGAGTCCAATGTGTTTAATTTCGTCTAGTTGCGCATGCAGGAACAGCCATTTGTTGCAAATCACGTCAAAAATATCTAGTATAAACACAGCATCAATTGATTCATCAAACACAATTGTTGGAGCTCTGACAATAATGGACGCATTAGTTGAGTTTTCTCGACCAGTAAAGTTTAGTCAATAGACTTATTTAGACGGAAAGTAAGGGATGCTACCGACCAATATACAAACGGAATTTTACCGCATTTTGTAGAACATAGTAGGTAATAAATTCATTATTTTCGAAAATATCACAACTAAAGTGCGGTATGTTGTGAGTGCCATTTAAGCACCACGCTTTAATTCGTACCCCTATTCCAGAGTTGCCATCTTTCTGTGATTGGTTGGTAGAGAACTTAAACTCTAGTAGACCCAGCCAGCCAAGTCACCACGTTAGCCTTCACTGTGGCGCGCCAGCGTGGACTATCGATTAACATCAGCTGTTACCAGCGCTAGCGTACTAGCGCACACGCTGAAGCAATGGTGCGTACGTGCTACCAACATGCCACCGCTGTTTTCACATTGCGCGCGCACGAAAAGCTTCTCGTCAAGGCCTAGTTTGGCGCGTAGCGCTTTATCAAGGCTTAGGTGTGACTAAGTCGAAATCCCACGCTGGGCACAGCGGCCGAACGGAAAGATTACCGCAGGTGGTGCCGAAATAAAGAGAGCCTTGTAGAGATAGACATTTAACTTACTGTAAGGCAACGTCCCGATAGTCCTCCTGTTTGTTGGAGATGTTAAAATAACCATGGGCTTGGGTGAGATTTAAGTCAAGTTAAGAAATGAGTGGTAATTACTGGAATGACTAGATTATGACAAAATAATGGTCGATTCCATTACTTGAAGCTCTTTAAAAATAGGTATGCAGCCGGTCTTTTAGTCGTTGAATTTGGGTTTAACCAGTCTCAAGCACTCATTTATGGACACAAGTTGCTTCAATTTTTTAGGCTCACAATGTGTATGTTTGTACATAAAAGAGCAGAAAATCACCTAGATATTGTGGTTAAATAAGCAACGGGTATACCGACCCTGTCCTGGGTACCTAGAGCAAGATCACGCTACAACAAATCAGTCTTGTTTTGCATCACACCTACCCACCCATCCAAAGGTTGCTAATTAACTAATGTCTCAAAACAAGCTGACCTTTTATAAATCCGTCCGTTTTTCCCGAAGTTCATGTTGTGCTTGTGTGCTAAAAATGCTGTTTGTTTTTTAATTATCCATGGTGAACACATTTAAATGCCACATCACCACCACACGTTTAAAAGTGACTTAGTGACTGGGTGACGGCGTCCTTAATTAAATAACACCAGGACCACTAGGAAACCAATTTTAAATGAGTGTGTTACGTGTCTTTTTGACGTCAGTTAAGTGTTTATTATGTGTCCATTCCCACGGCTTGTCTTTCAAAGGAATCAGCAATAAGTTGTTTCATGTTTCACCCCTAGAAATTTTTTTCCTAGTTGCTCTCAATTAGGATGTATGCACTTTTGGAAATTGATACAATGCCGGATCTTGTTCCTCAGCAACCCCAATAATAAATTTGGTGCGTTTA